TTAATGCATCAGTAAATGGCTTGGATTCTATTGAAAGCAAATGAACATTCATAACTCCTGAAAATTGAATAGTACTTTACTACATTTTTGTATATGAGCATTCTCTGCTTTGAAACTACAAATGCAAAGAATACATCCATTGTCAGATTACTTTCTGGTTTTGCTTTTAAAAATAATTTCACTTTTACAAAAATGGAACATTTTGGTTTGGAGAAAATAAAATCTTTGTGATTGTTACTTCATTTTGTTGGTCTCCATTGGTTTTCTTTATTTACCTCTTTTAGGAATATATTCAAAAGTAAACTATATAGATTGCTGTTCGTTCATCAAAATGAAATGTTCAGGCACTTTATCTTTTTCCACTTTAAGGAAGTTTGTAAAATATTTTTAAAAAGAAAAAAATATAAGATGGAAAGACTATAGGATAGCATTAAAGTTCAAACTTTTAGTATTATTTAGAGTTCTGTTTTTTCCTAGTAAGGTTTCATGCCAGTTTTAAAATTAAACCAGCAATTAACAAAAGAAAAAAATGGAAAAGAATTATTTTAAAATTAATCTTCTGCAAATACATATTAGTTTTAAGATTCTAGCAATCACCACAAAAGGTGGCATCTTATTTTTTTAAAAAATCTGAAGGCAATTATCGGTTCTGTTTACATTTAAAATTATTATTTTTATTTTACTGCTTTAAATAATATTACCCATTCATTGTAGAGATCTAAACATTTACAAAATAATAGATACTTCTAATTTGAATTTTTAAATGCACCGTTGCTTAGGTTCCTGTGACGTGTTCAAATTGTAGCTGAGCCACAAATATCTTGTGTGACTTCTAAATTTAAATTCCATGAAAGAGACATTAAATTGGGAACTCTGAATTTAAACTGTGGTTATCTGAAACCCTTAGATAATTGAACTTCCAGAATTAAAAGAAAATTTTTTTTGAGGAGTGCAGTAATGGTACAATTTTGAGTTACTAGAATTTATATATATATTTTTAGCTTTATTTATTTATTTATTTTTATTTTTTAATCTTTGTTGTTGAATGTATTACAGATGTTCCTCATTTTCCCCCCATTACCCCCCTCTTCCCCACTCCTGACCCCCCTCCTGCCTTTTCCCACACTGTTGTCTGTGTCCATTGGTTATGCATATATGCATATAAGTTCTTTGGTTTATTTCTTACCACTCCCCAAACCCCCTTCCCTTTGAGATTTGTCAGTCTAGCAACCAATTTGTACTTCTTAATTCCTTTACCTTTTTCACCCATTCCCCCAACCCCGTCTCCCTTCTGGCACCCAACAAAATGTTCTCTATATCTGTGAGAATATTTCTGTTCTGCTTGTTCATTTTGTTTGTAGATTCCATTGTTGATAGATGTGTATTCATTGCCATTTTGTTTGTTCATATTTTTTATCTTTTTCTTCAAGAAGACCCTTCAACATTTCATATAATAATGGTTTGGTGGTGATAAACTCCTTTAGCTTTTCCTTGTCTGGGAAACTCTTTATATGGCCATCCATTCTAAATGAGAGCTTTGCAGGATAGAGTAATCTTGGTTGTAGGTTCTTGCTTTTCATCACTCTGAATGTTTCTTGCCACTCCCTTCTGGCCTGCAAAGTTTCTTTTGAGAAATCAGCCGACAGCCTTATGGGAACTCCCTTGTAGGTAACTAACTGCTTTTCTCTTGCTGCTTTTAAGATTCTCTCTGTCTTGAACCTTTTGCATTTTGATGATGATATGTCTTGGTGTGAGCCTCTTGGGGTTCATTATGTATTTATTTTTGAGACTCTCTCTGCTTCCTGGGCTTGTATGTCTGTTTCCTTCACCAAGTTAGGAAAGTTTTCTGCCATTATTGTTTCAAATAGGTTTTCGATTTCTTGTTCTCTCTCTTCTCCTTCTGGCATCCCCAAGATGAGAATGTTGGCATGCTTGAAGTTGTCCCAGAGGCTTCTTACACTATCCTCCTTTTTTTTGGATTCTTTTTTCTTTTTGCTGTTCTGATTGGGTGTTTTTTTGCTTCCTTATATTCCAAAGCGATGGTTTGCTTCTTGGCTTTACCTACTCTACTATTGAATCTGTAGAAATTATTCTTTATTTCAGTTAGTGCCTCCTTCATTTCTGACCGTGCATCCTTCATTTCTGACAGGTCCTTTTTTATGCTCTTGAGGCCCTCACTAAGTTCACTGAGGTTCTCACTAAGTTCATTGAGCATTCTTATAAGCAGTATTTTGAACTCAGCATCTGTTAGGTTGCTTATCTCCAATCCGCTTAGTTCTTTTCCTGGGGTTTTTATTCTGTTCTTTTATTTGGGACCTGTTTCTTTGTCTCCTCATTTTGGCTTCCTCCCTGTGTTTGTTTCTATGTATTGCTTAATGAGAGGTATGGGGCTAGCTGAGACCAGATGCTGTTTGTTTGAAAGAATTTAGGAAAACCTGAAGCAGGATCCAAGACAGGCCAATCCTATGGTTAAGCAACTGGCAACAGCTTGGGTGGGCCTGAAAGTTGGGTGGGGCGGGGCCTCAGGGAGTCACCAGGGCGGGGCTACCAGTGTGAGCCAGGTTGCTGGAGTCCCAGATATGGCGGCTGTCTGCCACCCCAGGGAAGGGCTCACCAAAGGAACAAAGGCCTCTGACAGCACATTTGTCCTGGAGAAAGCCCCCTCTCCAGCCCTCGTGCCAATGCCAAACAGCTCAGTTCTTCCGTGTATGTCTCTGGTGCCCCTCGAGCTGCCTCCCCTCCAAGCTTAGAGGGAGCGAGTCCGCTAAGTCCGTGCGTGGGCTCTTTAGGGAGCTGCCTGGGGCTCCAGCCCCTCAGCCTCCCTGAGCCTCAGTTCCCGCTGTTTTTTCCAGCCAGAAGTGATGGGGACTCTCTTCCTGGCACTGGAACCGTGAGCGGGGCACCTGGTGTGAGACGGGGACCCTTCAGTCCTCAGGGAGGACCTTCCCAGCCGAGGTGTCCTCCTGATTTTTATCCACCACACGTGGATGTGGGACCAGCCTGTCTGCCTCCACCCCTTGATGTGGCTGTTTCTTTAATTCCGTAGTTGTAGGACTTCATTCAACTTGATTTCAGGCGGTTCTGAATGATGGTTGCTCTGTAGTTTAGTTGTAACTTTGATGTGGTTGTGGGTGGACGCGATAGCGTTTACCTACCAGCCATCTTGACCGGGTCTTTTTAGCTCTTTTGACAAGAGTCTTTCCCACCTCTTCTCTATCTTAAGCAGTGAATACTTGCCATATTTGTTTATTTTCTTGTGACTCTATTAAAATCTTTTTTTTAAGTGCTGGATATTTCTCAAAATATTTGAGTTTTGTCTTTAAAATGATCTTATATATTTAAGTTCCTTACCAACATAACATCCATTTTTGAATCAGCATACCACTTAATAGTTTAAGTCAATTTTATTGACAAATATTTATTGAAAATATTTTATATACTGGACATGATGATGATAATGTGTGTTTTACATATTTCATTTACTCTTTATATTTCAGTAAGGTTGGTATTATATTCTCAGGTTTAGAGAAGAGGACACTAAGGCTCAGAGAGCTTAAGTTCATTAAGGTCATACAGAAGAGCCAGGATTTAAACCTATCTGTAGAACATGACATACTTCATCTAAAAATTAAGAGACATTGTAACAAACAAAAGAAAAAAAATCTAAGTAAACATTAATTGTTCAGAGAGCCTCCCCTCCATGGTTTTCTTATGCTCCTACTTGCCCTGCTGGGTATACAAGGCCCTGACCACCCCTCCCCCTGGCCATTTGGTCTTGTGTTTACAGGAAACAACCTTGGAGGACCGGGCAAGGCCTCACTTTTGAACAGAGAGCAGGTTTTCTATGAAAGCAGTGGATCCCCTGGTATCAGAATTCCTATTCTGTATTTGCAGCCTCTTAGAATTATTCCTTGCATTTAATGAGCACTCAGGATTTGTTTGATGTGAGGCATAAAGTACAAAGAGTAGGTTATTTAAAAAATATACCAGGACTGAATTCTCCAAATACTATGTCTGTAACCCTTGATTATTTAAAAAAACAAAATAATTAACTTCAATAGAAATAACATTCATTTCTTAGTGTCTACTACGTACTTGGTGAGTTCTTCATTCTTTATGTTGTTTTACCCCTTGCAATAACTCTCTAAGGTAGGTAATCATTTTTCATCAAGAAATGGGCCCAGCAGATGCTTGCTTCTGATATATATATATATGCAATATTAATCTGCGGAAGATTCCATCATAGAGAAACGACTGCACATGATTGGGCAAATACCACTGAGTATACGTTGTTGGCTTTATCTTGGCAAGAAAGAACGGTCCAAATACTATTCCAAGTCCCAGTGTATGAAATCAAAGTCAAGACAGATGTCTAGATAAATGTTTTAAAGGAGCACAAGAATAGATTTGACTAAGTCAATCACCCTATTTATTTAATGTTAAGCATCTGAGGGTTGTAGTTCCCCAGGGTCAGTCTCTCAATCATGATTTCTAGGCTTTTTTTATTTTTTCCCTTCCAGGCACTGACAATCTTCCTCTTTTCCAGGAGTTTTCCCTGAGGCTAACTGGGGCTCAACACACATCTAAATGCCAGCGCACTGATGATGGGCATGTAAAAACTAAGAGAAAAGCAATTTAGGAAAGAAAATAAAGTGAGAAAGAAATGAGGGTCAAACCTAAAGAAAACCAAGCTACCTTGGTTAGAAACTGTGTGTAATGCAAGCCAACTATTTCTTGCATTTTATTTCTTGCAGTCTAGGAGAAGCGTCCGAACTCTCAGGGTTACTAGGCAACGGCGTTGCCGTGGTAACCCGGGAAGCTCACAGGGCACCAACCAGTAACGCTGGGCGCAGCCTTTCGGTGCCTGGAGCTGGCCTGGTGGGAGGGGTGAGGGAGTGTCAGGCTCTCGCGAGAGCTGCGTGGGGTCGTTGGCAAGCGTCTTCGACGTTGATCCTACGGACGCGATGGACCGGTAGGGGGCCAGTTCCCAGAAAGACGCGATGGCTGCTCAGCAGCGGACGTCCGACTCGCCCTTGCGTGCTCTGGAAGAAGCGCTGGGCATGGGCTTGGCGGCCGCCGGGGACGCCGAGGGCACCTACTACCTGGAGCGTATCCTTCCCGTGTGGGCGCGGCGCCAGGGGCCGGCCGCCCTAACGTGTATTAGGGCCAGTGCCCGGGCTTCCCACCGGGGGGCGCCCTTGAGGCTTGGGGCCGCCCAGGGAACCGAGACGCCTGTTGGACCTCAGTGACGTCTGTCTCTGCCACCGAAACCCCCAGTATAGCCACCAGTGGGCTTTCCCACTGACTGCGAGTGTGAGGCTGCCGCACGCCTTTGGAAGAAGAGTTGGAAGACTTGCGGGAGTTCCGTGCTTAGTAACCTCTGCGTAAACTTTGGATAAAAGTTTTGCGTGAAGGTGGCACAACAAACAGATGCAGCCCTCCTTTTGGCTTAGCGGTTTTTCCTAAATAAGCCCTCAAACTTGCAGAACACCGTCGGAACAGTCAGTTGAGAAAGGAGATTAGGGAACGAGCCTTTGGGCTTGCAATGAGCTGAAGTTCAGAATATCCAATGCATGTCCAATGCTTAAGAAAGATTTTTGTTTTGGAAGCATCAGCCTTCCTGGATAGTTTCAATTTGGGCTATTTAATAATAAGAACTTTTTCTTCTTTAGCAACTAAATGATGTGCTGGTGAGCTGACAGGGCTCAGAGGTGTTGGGAAGAAGGCAGAAAGTGATTATCAATGGACATGGCAGAAAAATGGAATAGTCATATTTGGATAATTAAGTTCACTATTTCTTGTGTAAAACTTTTGAGCTCCCTTCCATCCCCAGAGGGGACGTGTATGGGAGGCAACCCGGTGATGTTTGTCTGACTCTCTTTTCCTTCCCCTCTCTCTGAACAATCAGTAAAACATATCCTTAGGTGAGGACTAAAAACAACAACAACAAAAATTCAGCTCCCCTCCTCAAGGCATGTAGATTAATTCTACTGCAGAGATGGGAAGGATTCATGAGAAACAGATGTCTATACCTTTCTTCAGGCTAGTAGGAGGGAGATGGTTTATCTGTTTTAGTCTCAAAGATATCAAGAAAACTCCAAAATCTACCTTATGTATTTATGTTTGTCCTGCTATACTTACTCCAGCTCTAGTTCAAGACTTCAGAGACCCAGCAGTACTTCATTTTGAGCTCTGGCAAACTGATTAACGTATCTGACTCGGGCTCAGTACACATCCCTGCTACAGGGAGCTTTGAAGTACATAGTTGGAAAGATGAAAGAAAATATGTAGTATTTCACTCGAGGCAAACATGAGTTTTCCCAGGTATATAAGTTTGAATATTTGGGAATCAATTTGAATGGAATATGTGGGTGCTTTAGTGTTTTAAATGAGGTTCTATACTCTGTTTTTATAGCTCTGTTAAGCTGCTTTTTTTTTTTTTATCAATAGTCCTTTTTAAATTAAAAAACAAGTTAACATTTCTTTCACAACTATCTACACCAAGTATAAAGTTACCCAGTATCCTTGCTAATGAATGTGAATCAGGCATCTTACCATTTTTGTCTGCAAAAAATGATTTCTATAACACATAGTTTAATTTTTAACATGAGACAAACACAGTGAGGTAACTTTTTGCAAACATTTTGTGAAATAAATGGTATGACTCCAAAATAGCACAGCTTTCAGCAATGAAAATCATGTGTACTTAATTGGCAGGATCATCACTGAGTCACAACTGCCAGCATATAGTATTTTGCACAAAACTGTCTTACAGAGACTTCCCTTGATAATCACATTTGCAAATATAAGCAACTCCAGCATTTCTGAATTTCATTATTTAGTTTGTGAATTATCTGGGCCCTTTGCTTTTCTTTCACCTCTCTTTGCTTTACTGACTACTATTTTGGGTTTCAACCAAAGAGTAGTTAGGAAATAATAAAGCTAAGCATTTAACCAGTCAATTTTCCTATATCTAGTGCAACGTTCAGGTAAGGTTTAGTCATGGGAGAGACTTTAACTCTTAGGTTTGAGGATTACTTCTGAATGCCAATTATCCCTGTGTCCCTGGGCTCGCTAACATGCATAATTAAGAGTTGACTGTATAATGTTATTTGACATTGTTTCTTAAGGCAATTATGATAGTTGCTGAAGTGAGACTTTCTTGGGTTTAAAGTCTTTAGCTCTCAGGTAATTGAGCTATTGCAGTGGATAAATAAAAGTTATAATATGCAAAAACGAATCAGAAATCTGATGTTCTGTACTTTGCACATATACCGTATCACTTCTAGTCTACTTCATTTAGTATTGGACTCCCTTCATTTATGACAGAACATTTGCTCCTAGAACGCAAGACATAAGCTATCAGTACTAAGCAAGGCTTTGAAAGATGTTGACTCAAATTCTCTAGAAAATTAGACTTTTCTTTGTTTTTAATCATTTACACATAAAGAACCATGTACACACTAATGTGGCCCAAACCAGAAATATAGCCAGGATCCACCATGGGGGCAATGGCTTCATTAGGGACCCACATTCTTTAAAAAATTTTATTATTATTATTTTTTTCTTTGTTGATTTTAGAGAGAGGAAGGGAGAGGGAGAGATAGACAGAAACATCGATGAGAGAGGACATCAATTGGCCACCTCCTGCATGCCCCACACTGGGGATCGGGCCCACAAGCACTAAGCCACACCAGCCAGGCTAGACCCTACATTCTTTACAACAGTTTAGAGAATGTGTTCAGGAAAAAGATTTCTTACCCCTGTAACACCCCTCCCTTGTAACCTCCTAGCTGTAATAGTGCCACCTGTTTCTCTTCTGAAGCACTCTCAGCATTATTTCTTTTATGTTTTAAACTTCCAGACGATGAGATACAAACACACATAATGTAGTTCTTATTTTGCTATCTCCAGAGCTTTAAGAAATCTGCTCATGGAGTGCATAAGTCCTTTGGAAAACTCTTCATAAGAAAGGTAATTGCAGCATTGGAGAATATAAGGTTAGATTTTAACTAAGTGATCTGTACAGGGCTGAGTAGGTGTATCTAGAATTTGTAAAGAAGGTTGGTTGTCTTTTAGAAATCAGTACAATTTGGGTGAAGTTTTCAATTCCAGTAGTGACTCCGGGCTACCTATTAATTTGTGGCTGTGGACATTTGGGAGTGCCCATTTCCAGCTGGGAGATGCAGGTAGGAATGAATAGTACTAAGAAAGAGTCCTGGAATTCCTGACTAGGAAAGTGAGGCCCACAAAGTGTTTTTACATTTTTCTTTTAATGTTTTTATTGATTTTTAGAGAGGGAGGAAAGAAGAGGGTGAGATAGAAACATCAATGCGAGAGAAATATTGATCGGCTGCTTCCTGCACGCCCCCTACTGGTGATGGAACATGCAGTCCAGGCATGCGCCCTGACCGGGAATTGAACCAGCGACCTCTTGGTGCATCGGTTGATGTTCAACCAATGAACTGTCCATACCAGCTGGGCCAGAGTGTTGTTTTTATCTACCTCCCTTTGCGCTGATTCTCTGCTCCCCTAACTATCTTTTGATTATTATATCATCTTTCTAAGTATTCTGATACTAAGAATTTGGCTCCTTAGATAGGGCATAAGTTTGCTGGACACTGAAAAGGTGTTTTCTGGCCCCAACAGCAATCTCTGAACAACAGTTTCTTTTCTTTAAAAATTTATTAATTGATTTTAGAGAGAGAGGAAAGGGGAGAGAAAGAGGAACATCACTTTGTTGTTCCACTTATTTATCCATTCATTGGTTGACTCTTGTATGTGCCCAGATTGGCGATCAGACTCACAACTTTAGTGCATTGGGATGGTGCTCTAACCAACTTAACTACTCGGCCAGGACCCTGAACAGCAGTTTCTGAGAAGTGAGTGAGTTAAGCCAGCCCTTAGAGTCAGCTCCAAAGTTAACTGTTCCTGAAAATGCAAAATTAAGGATTCCAGACCCTGAAATTTGGTGATTATGCTAAACTGATACCCATCTAAGATGGGTGCTTGTCTTTTTAAGTGACATCCCTAGCCAATCTTTCATTGCAATAATGTACTGTTCACCAATAACTTTGTATAATTAAAATTGAACTTTTGTCATTTAAAAATATTTTATTATACCTTTTAACATCTTTAAAATTTTTTCCCTCTGTTATGTTACTCTTCTGGAGTGTTTATACGATTCAGTGAAAAGATACTGTGAAATCCTTAGTAATCATTATCTACTCAAGTTGTGTATTTCTTATTAACAGTGGGACACTAAATTTGCCCATGGATACTTACCTGCACCCTACTTATGGTCAAATAAAAAGGAAAGGCAATCTGAATGTAGCATCTAGACCAAGAGGCATGTTACTAAGGCCAGAGTGCTGAATTTTACATGCACGGAATTCATAGGCTATTTGGAGGGGAAAAATTGTGTTTCATTCTGTGTCCTCTAGTCCAGGCAAACTTTAATGTGAATATGAATCAAAGATACGGATCTTTAAATGAAGGTTCTAATTCAGCAAGTCCAGTCAGGGCTGAGATTCTTCTGCATTGCTAACAAATCCCAAGTGCTGCTGGTAAGAACTGTAATAGGAGTTGCAAGGCTGAATACAAATACCTAAACCATTAACCTTTATATTTGCAGATAGAGGTGCAATGTGTAGAGTTGATACCTTTGTATCTACTGGCTTACAAATTGGAAACGTACCCCATCAATCATGGTGAAAAGTATGAGTCTTATGTATAGAAAGAAATGTCTTTTCCGGTTTCTGAGGCAGATGTGCTGCAGCTGTGAAGGGGGGGGGGGGGGCTAGGACACTTCCCTTCTTGGCAGCCGAAATGGTAGTGAGGTGGTGGCTTCCCCGAGGTGTTAATGAGGACTCGGTGGGGAAGGCTGCAGGAAGCAGACCCCGTGGGGGAGCTCAGCAAGAGTGCCCGTCAGTCCCCATCTTTGGATGACTTCATGCAGTTAACTTCCTTTATTTAAACTGGAGTTCTTAAGAAAGTGAACACGGCTGTGATGTTTGCTATTACCAGTACTTTTCTTTTATTTCAATTTAGTAAGTAAAATGTTGATTACGGAGGAGCCAGCCTAGATTTTAGATTGCCTCTGTGTACAT